TGATTCGGTCAATCTACCACTTAGCGATTGGCCATTACCAAGTTGAGCCTCCTCAGGATGGGTCGATGGTTGCAGATGAAGAGAACTAGTCCCGCACAGAACGTCAATCTCCACAATGACATTCAGCTCTCATATCTTTCGCTGGAAAAGACCAGATCCGGGTTTTGCCGTAAAGGAGAACCTTGGCTATGGCTGTAATGGAGCATGCAGTTGCAAAGCCGGACGGGTATGCAGGAGCAGTCAACCCCCCCTTGGCCAGCCTTGACGCACACGTTTCGCACATCACAGCTCAGCAGGCGTTGAGCTTCCCGCCCTTCTAGGACTTGAGCGGCCCGGTGTGTTGTTGTTGAGAGCTAAGCCCAGTGGACCGATAGGCATGATCGACGGAACCAGCCCCCTGGCTCCCAGGAAACCCCCACAGGGCGGGCTCGATGCCCGGCCAAGCTGGAAGAGGAGCGGCATAGCGCCAACATCCCACCTTCCCTCATCTCTCAACCCCAACTCAATCCGAGTATGTGTGTAATGCTACGTACGTGCGGGGCGGACGGGTCTCATCCGTTCGTCTGGGCGGAGGTTTTCTTCCGGCTTCAACCCGATTCGCGAGGGGGAACTGGACGTGCCCCTTGGGGAAGAAGCAATTCTGCGCTTTTCAGCTCTGCGAGTGAGCCGTGACTAAGGAATGAATAAGGGAGGAGGTTCTTTCCGGACTCTCTGATTGTCCTCATATATATATAAATATATATGGCACGCGTGACCCTTTTTGAACATTGAAACGAACAGGGGAGCAGAAAACAGGGGAGCCTGGTCATCATTAACGTCTGGAAACTTCTTCCCCTGCAAGGCTTTGGTTTGGCGCGTCAAGGTGTCGCGAGGCCAGCGACCTTCATGAACCTCAACTAACGGTTTGAAAACTCCCGGCTTCATCTCCCATGCTGTAGTTTAGTTTCACGTTGCCTTGGAAATTCCATAAAATAGAATTAAAAATGTAATAGATAAAATCAAGGAAGGCAAAGGCAAAGAATTCCCACCAATCGACGATGGGGAATATCTTCAATGATGCCTGCTGGCTAGTTTAGCGGCTTCAAGGTTCAATGCGTAGCCACTTGCAGAGCCCATCGTGCTGGTATCAAATAATATTGTCCATCAAATCAATAAATTAAAGACTCGTTCTGTCCCGTCGGGCTATCCGGACTCGCACCTTGATTTTCCCACCCATCTCAAGCCACCTCGGTATAGTTGATTCAAATCTCCAAGGAAGGACCACATTCATCCAATATCTCTAGCATGTGAATAGATCGAAGGCGCATCCGCCGCAAATGCAAAGCATCGGAAGCACAACAAGTAGTTTATCACCAGCCCAGCCGGCATTCCTGGAAGGTGGTGCCAGTTGGGAAAAGCAAACAAGATCCACGTCCATCAATTGATATCTCGGACATCTCCTAGCGCCGCATCTGCTTCAAAAGTGTCTCCTTTGAACTTTGGACTTGGCCTAGATCGGGCGACAATTTCCCGAAGGGAAGAAAGGAGCGAAAGGTTTGACCAGTAACACGCTGGCTTCGTTAGTCCATGGCCCGATTGAGAGACGACATTGCCTTTCTTTAATATCCCAGTCGGATGGAGTCCGTCTGCACAGCCTAATTCTCACCCCCGAAATCCATTTTTGGAGACAGAGAGGAAGGCGGCGATGCGAGCCCGAGGCTCAGGGCATGTTTGGGAGATGATCCTTGGCTCTCCCGAAACCGCCCGTCTGGTCGGAGCGCGTTTGAGGTTCGAGATTTAGGATGAGGGATCTGAAGTCTGAAGAAAAAAGGCCAAGCAGGCTCGAGCAACCCTTGTAGACGGTTTTACGAGCACGTTGAAACCACGCTCATCAACGCTCACTATCTCCTTCCTATAAAATAAAATGCTGCGTGATTCACAGCGAACCAGGGGCGAGAAAAAAAAACAACCAGACCCGAACTATCCCCAATGGCGTAGCGCGAACGACGAACCCGTCCGTTCGGTTCTAGGAGTACCAGGACAGGGTCGATCAATAGGATCCGCCCTATTAACCGGGCCGGGGGTGTCTGTACTCATCGCTGACTGACACATTGTCGATTGGGGAGTTCATGCCAGGTGTTACTTCGTAGATGAAAATGAATTTTGCTTGTTTCTATGGGAATTCCTATGTCTTTGGGGGAGCCCTACGTGGATACGTGGGAGAACCCCGAGCGGTCCCATTTCCCTTTTCGGACAGACAACGTAGCCAGTGGATATCGAGAGAGCACAGCCATTTCGCAACCCGCACCGCAAATGTGTACCTAGAGCTCGGGCTTCAACTGTGCTGGCCTTTCTGTTGTAGTAGCGTACACAGGTATTAGTATGTTTTAACTCATATCCACTGGGTAGAGAAAGGGGAACCAAGAGAGGGAATAGAGGGACGTTTGTTTGTGGGTATGAGAGAAGTTCCTCTGGCATGTATATAAACTCGGGGACTGTGTTCAAGCATGTGCTTCTGGTCCCCCGCCCATGTCACTACTCGCTCCACAGAGCTTGACAGGCCGCAAGCAACCCTGCAAGGAACGGAAAAGAGGACTGTGTCATCTCGTCGAATTGCGCAACGCTGCCCATTATGAAGCATCGTCTGCTTCACTTCCGGCCGTTGGACGCCACCCAGCGCAAAAGGGCAGAGACGGATCCCGAAGCCGCCATCTACCTCTGGCTGTGTGCCACGGCTTCAAGACTCCCCACTGGCCAAGTAACGTACAAGCTCCCGAGGCTCGACCAGATTTCGGCTCACCAAAGCGAGGCTGTGAACACCGTCAGCAAGATGGTCTTCATCGAAACGGATCCGGGGGCGGCGTATTTCCCTACAGTTGACATGTTCCTGCCACCACTGAAAGGACCCAAATTCAACCCCATAATCGCCTCGCTGCAACTAGCGCCGGCCGAGTCGGATATGGGGAGTTTGAGTGGGTTACCTGTCGAGATTCTCGAGGGCATCCTCGGTCATCTTGACATTCACAGCCTCGACTGCTTCAAAACAGCTAGCCGGGCCACTTATACCGCCGTCACCGAGCATCCGATGTATCGGGTCATCGATCACCAGGCACACGACGCTCTGCGCTGCTATCGAGTGCTGGACGAAAACCGGGACGTCACTCTGAAGCTGTTGTATGAAGTCCTGTGCGCGAGCGTGTGTGCGCGATGCGGAGCTTTTGGTGGATACCTGTATCTTCGAAGCTGCGCCCGCGTTTGCAGTGTTTGCTACTTATCCATGGATAAAAGTAATCAGCAGCATCGTCAGCAGCAGCAGCAGATGGAGCAATGCATCGATCAAGTCGTCCCGGGCATCGAGACAGCAAAGATTCGCGTCTTCTCGCTCAAGAGAGTCCCTCAACTCTACCAAGCCCTCACCGAAACCAAAGGCCGGCGCCAGGTAAACCTAGCAGCAGCCAAAAGAGCCCACGAACGCCTGAGAACATCCAACTTCACCTTCGACATCGACAAGCTTACACTCGAGGACCTCGCCAGCATCGACTACCTCGACGACGAATCCCTCGACGAAGTCCTCTCCGAATCAACATCGTCCCTCCAAAACGTGCTAGACACCGCCGCCGACACGGACGTGGTCGAGATCAACATGGCCACCGTGCGCGTGCCCTACCTCAACCGACAAACGGGGCTCGCGGAGTGGGGGTTCTCGTGCGCCGGGTGCCAGGGCATGTACCCTTGGTCTGGGGACCCGCGCCGCGAGTACATCATGTCGTCGTTCCGCGAGCATCTGAGGAAGTTGTCGGCGACGGAGCAGACGGGGCACGGGATTGATTGGGGGGTTTTCGGGAGCTTGGGAAACGTGGCGAGGGAGATTGGGCCGGGGGAGGATGAAAAGTGTCGGCGGAGGGTGAGGTGCTTGATGGAGATTTTCGGGACGGGTGTGGTGTTATCGTAGAGTTAGAAAAGCCTTGGGAAATAAAAAAAAAAGTTGGAGTTTATCTTCATCAATCTTGGCATCGTCGAGATTATTTTCAATACTCGGTATCTGAAATTCGCGTCAATCACGGGCTTTTTCCAGTGACCCTCTCGGATACTAAGCAGACATTGGTTTCCGTCGCCAGTCAAAGTCAAGTCCTAAGAGGAAGATGGGCGATATTTCACGACAAAATAATGGCATATTCGGTCAATTTGGCATCCGATGAAGAAGTAATAAGAGAGAAGTTGAAAATTTAGATTATTCTTCGCCTTGGAATGCCCGCACTTTGACTCCCCGATCGTGACTCCCCGGGACTGCTTCGGGACCGATGCTCTTGGTGCCAAATCTCGGCAAGCGGAGTTCGGCGTCGGACCCTCGGAGGTGGCCGACAATTTGAACGGGGGAGGCGACTTATCTAACTTATCTACCTTATCTACCTTCTGCATGATGACTCATCTACTGAAGCACAAGTTGTACCTCAGGAACATGTTCTGTCCAGCTCATCAATTGATGTCTCAATTATGATCGATGATTCGATATGTTTAGATCTGCTGTACAAGCTTCCAGAGTACAAAGTACGGACATGCATCTCTCCTGACCGCATCGCTTGGTCTCAACAGTCGCCGATGTCAATTGAGCTCCTCTAACCGTTGAGAGCTCCCCTGTTTGTACGTCCATACATTAGCGGGGAAATAAGCGTCAATGGTCGTGTGCCTCGTGTCTCCCACGGGCCTCTCTCTCTGTCTGCCTCCCTCCCCTTCGTGTCCATCTGAGAGGCGTGGCTGGAGCCGGGTTGTGGCCTCGTGATCACTTTTTGACGACCAAGAAGTGTGGAACGTGGAACTGGGGTTTCCGTTCCCCTGAAGAACTGCCCAGAACTTAAAAAGTGGATTGCGTAATGATAGAAAGGGAGGGATTGGAATCTTCCAAGGTTCTCTTCTTAAACCTTGGCACCTTTGGCCTTTCCTTCTAAGCTTCTTGGAACCTTCAATACCCGAAATTGATTCTGATTTCTGAACTGCCTTCTGCCTTCTTATCTCCTGCTACGATGACGACACGATATCGAGTAGAATGTAAGTTCAGTCGCTGGCCGACATACAGACATACACCCCGACGGCCGGCTGCTGCTGTTCTACTGTCCCATTGTCCCATAGTAGCTCCCCCCCCCCCCCCCCCCCCCCCCTCCCCAACCACTATCTAAACCACTTCGATGACGATGAGGTTTCGACCAAGGCACACCAGAGCTAACCACCTCGTTTAGACGCTCTCAAGACCCATCGCCGAGACCAATTCATAGGTATGATAAGGATGCATCCCATACAATTTCTTCGATCCTCTGCCCGCCCCCAATTCCCAATACTCGCTCTGCTCCAAGCTCAACAGCTCAATGAGTCGAGCAAGCTGTGTCACCCACCCGCTTTCCCCAACATCAACGCAACCACACCGCTCCTCACCAATAATTCTCCTTTGCCCCCCTTCCCCAACCCCGGCTGAGCAGCGGTGAACCGGGCAGGCAATGCATTGCCTGGTACAGAAATGACAATACTGCATTAATTGACTGTATTGGAAATTTGGCCTATTAACCATTTCCTTTTACAGAATGGGTCAAGGCCCTCCTTGCCGTACCGTTTGTAATCTACTCTCAACCCACCGGTGTATACGACGCCGAAGGCCGAGATGTCGACGGCATGGCAGCCGAGGCGCATCGGCGCTACGCCGAGATTCTCAAGGACGTCGAGGAGATGATTAACGACCACAGTACGTACGACTGATACTCTTTTTTTTTCCTCATGTATATTTATTTTCTAAACAAAATTCTAGTCAAACACCAAAACGACAAACGCAAACTCCCCTCCAAACTAAAACTCCTCGTCCCCTCAGCGGGACCCTTCTTCACGAACCTGCCCCTCGAAGACGCCTTCACCTATCAAGACTCCAAGCGCTACATCTCCTCGCGCCGCTTCGTCGCCCCGTCCTTTAACGATGTGCGCCTCATTCTCAACTCGGCGCAAGTCATGGCCGTGACGCGGAACCATGGACTGCAGCTCGCTACGTTTGATGGTGATGTTACGCTTTATGATGATGGGATGAGTCTTGAGCCTTCTAGTCCCATCATCCCTCGACTCATAGGTAACTATCTATTCATCCTCCCTGTCTCTCTCCGGCTCAAACCGAAAATCAAGATAAAAAAAAAACACATTAACACTCCCCCCAGACCTCATGCGCCGCGACATAATGATCGGCATCGTCACAGCAGCAGGCTACACTACCCCCGACCTCTACCACGCCCGCCTCCACGGCCTCCTCGACACCATCGCCACCTCCCCCCTCCTCACCCCCTCCCAGCGCCGCAACCTCATCATCATGGGTGGCGAAGCAAACTACCTCTTCGAATTCTCCCCGGACGCCCCCCACCTCCTGCTCCCCGTGCCCCGCTCGAACTGGCTCACCTCCGAGATGTCCACCTGGTCCGACCCGGCCATCCATTCCCTTCTCGACGTGGCGGAGTCGGCGCTGAGGGATTGTATCCGCACCTTAAACCTCCCCGCTACCGTTGTGCGAAAGGACCGCGCCGTGGGTATCATCCCCCGCGACCCCTCCGTCCGCCTCCCCCGCGAAACCCTCGAGGAAACCGTCCTCGTCGTCCAGAAAACCCTCGAAATCAACGCCCTCCGAAACCCCGCCGACGCTCGCATCCCCTTCTGCGCATTCAACGGCGGCCGTGACGTCTTCGTTGACATCGGCGATAAATCATGGGGCGTGACCGTTTGCCAGAATTACTTTGGCAAGCGACGCGCCGCCGCCGCCGCTGCTGCGGGTGAACGGAACGGCAACGACGCTTCTTCCTTCGTTATCAGGGGGGAGAATACCCTGCATGTGGGCGATCAGTTCCTGAGTGCCGGTTCGAACGATTTTAAGGCGAGGAGCGTTTGTACGACGGCTTGGATTGCGAGTCCCGGGGAGACGCTGGAGTTGTTGGAGGAGGTTGTTGAGGCTTTGGAGAAGGTTCCTGCTGCTGCATGAGGAGATTGATGATTTTCCTATTTTTTTTTTACGGAGACAAAATGGGGGGAACAAACCCGAGTGTCGAAGTCTCTCGGGGGATTCCTCCGCAGGACATCATGGGTTTACTTACATAGCTAATCGAGGCAGTTCCACTGTCCGTCCTTCAACCATATCTACTTTAGTTCAAACCACGGACTACATCCCCAGAGAGTTAAGTGGTTCGTTTATAAATACGGATTCTCTTCGATGTTGTCTTCTTCAATGCATGTATTGATTAGAAAGAGGTCATAATATCAGACCATCTTCTTCAAACTCATCCTGCCTGCTTTCAACTTTTGAATCCGTGAAATTCCCCCCCATTAATACACTTGAACCCAATCCTCTCCGGTTCCTTTCCTTTCCCGGGTACCCTTATCCTAGCCTCTGATAAAAAGACAAAGGAGGACTTGGTCCTTGAGAAAGAAAAACGTAAACTTAAATAGTTACAAAAGGAGAAGGAAAGACAGGCAAAAAGGAAAAGGGAAACTGTGGATTAGAAAACAAAAAACAAGAGAGAAAAAGAGAGACAGCATGCCCGCTAACTCCAGTTCCCAACATTCCTTTCCAGGCATGTGTGTATGTATTTGTGTTGTGTTGTCCATCGACCTTTGATTCTGACCTAACCACCAGGTCCTGGTCGAGGAATGCTTCTCCAGCCAAATGCACCAGATTTTGAAGAACAAAGGCGTAAAAGGAAGAAGGCAGAAGAGAAAAAGAAAGACAAGTCCCTCCAACGCCGTCATGCTATCCCCCACCAAGAGGCCGTGAAACAAAGGAAAGGTACCAAAAGAGGCACTGAAAAACAAGGGCAGGCTGTCATTCTTCGTGTATGTACACTCCACCTCTCCCAGTATTAACAGGACAGGGTATTTGTCCTCCATTTACCCCCTAAAAGCAGAATCTCCTGCTCTTTCTCTCAGGTGTATGTACTCAATCGAACCCACCTTTCTGCCTCAATAACAGATAGGAGACCCAGAGTGTTGCTTGTGCAATTTCTCATGAAAAAGAAAATTGTGTGTGTTTGAAATCATCTCAGCATGTCATATATGCGAGTAATGTAAAATGTGCCCAGTCCAAATTAGGCAGTATCCCAAACACACATGAAATCGGATGAAGTATTTAGTAGCCAGGCTTTCCAGGCATGACACCAATTGAAGGCGCGCCTGTGATGGGTGGGGGTGGCAAGTGATTGTGAATGTAAATCTTTCGCGAGCCAGTCTTGAGGGCATCCTTCTTCGAAACGTCAATTGGCGTGGGGTCTTCGTACGACTCCAGCTGACAACATTCAACGTTCCTCACCCAGCGGTGGGCCACGACATCAGCCATGCTGATTCGTTTGTTGGGATTTGGGTTCAGCATTCGGAGAAGGAGACGTCGAAGCGCGGGAGGCTTGACAAATCTGTCAAAGGCCAGCACATGAGGGTAATCGGAGTCGTCCGGAAGTGCGTCGGGCTCCCGTTGCTTGCCCTCCCAGTCCTCCCATCCCTTGACGAGTGGCATGTAGCTCGGATCCTTGGGGGATGCCTTACCCCAGAGGTTGCCGCCGAAGATGAGGTTGATCATGATGATTGCGGAGCTCCAGACGTCGAGAGCGCGAGGGTCATAGGCCTCCCTCTTAGCGAGGACTTCGGGCGCGATGTACGGCTCGCTGCCACAAATGCCTGGAGCACAAAGACGCACCTCGCCCATGTTCTTGCCACACACGCCGCCAGCCTCACGCAGACCGGGGTGGATTCCAGAAAACACCTCAGACACGCCAAAATCAGTAATCTTGAGCTTGCTGTCCTTGGTGATGAGGAGATTCTCCAGCTTGATATCTCGGTGAGCGATGCCGTTGGAGTGCAAGTAGTTGACTCCCTGAACGAGCTGCTTGAACAAACAATTCCGGTCCATCATGCGCGCCTCCTGCTTGAGGTAGCCCTTCTCGACGAGGCCAAAGAGATCACCCTCAGCGCAGTATTCCATGACGTGGTTCCATCGACCGCGATCGGTGCAGAGGCGAATCGTCTCGACGATATTCGGGTGGTGTAGGCTCTTCGCAATACTGTACTCGGACTTGATCTTCTTCTCGTATTCTTCAGGGGACTCGCGGCCCGACTTGCCACGGAATTCCTTGACGGCGTAAAGCTCGCCCGGTGAACCCTTCCGCGTCATCAGTGTAACCTTGCACGTGGCGCCCTTGCCGAGATGCTTTCCGTGACGGCCGAGGAATTTCCGCTGGTACTCGAACTCGGAAAGTAATTCGGCAACGTCGACGGTAAAATCATCGGGGAGGCTCAAACTCATGCGGCGCGCCTTAGCGCCGGTACCCTGATCGGGGGGATAAGGCCAGGGAAGCCTCTCGGCGGGGACGAAGGGCGACTCGGGATTCACAGCAGCGGGTGTCAAGGCCAGTGTATCCTTGCGGCCGTTAAAGCTATTAGCTCTTCTCTTCATCCGCTTCTTATCCTTGTCTTTGTCCTTGTCGCGACCGGGTACGTTCGCATTGACAAAGTTAACAGCTCGTCCCCTAATGCCAAGACCGGTCGACGCGCGGTTCTTCTTCTTCAAATCATCTGTTGTGGAGGCGCTTCCATTCTGGGCGCTGCCGTTCGCGGCATGGTCACGCGAAGAGAAGACCATCTCGAGAGGAGGCGAGCCTGGAGAAGGCGGAGTATTGAAACGAGCAGTGGACGGCGACTTTTGCAGCGGGATTGGCCTGGGGTCTGCCTCGGCGCGTGTGCTGAGGCTCGTATCGGACGTCCCGACGCTCTGGGGCTCGGAATCCTTGCCTGTCCGCCGGAAAAAAGAAAAAGATCGCCTTATGCTGCTGGTAGTAGAGGAGAATGTTGAGCGCCTAGGAAGAGGGCTTCCTTCGACGGAACCAGAGAGTTTAAGAGCTGAAGGATGGCTCGAGAGCCTTCCGGCGGTCTGCGGGGGTGAATTGGGCTTGATGTCGGTATCGATGACGAGGGGTCGTTTCGCGGCGATTCTCGCGGAGGAATTGGAAGTGGATAGCTCGGAGGTGCCGGCGCTTGGCTCGGTGTCGGAGTTGTCTTGGGTGCGGACGGCTGTAAATTCTCGGGACTGCCTGCCGCTAATGGGAGTGACGGGTTCGTTTGGCGACTCACTTTCCGACTCGGTCTCCTCAAGGATGGCACAGGCCAGATCTGTAGGGTAGGGGCGTGGAGAAGTCGAAAGATTTAGATTTTCCGCTTCATACCGTACACCCTCTCTGGTTTTGTCTAGATCTGAATATTGGGAGACGAGTTAGGAAGGTATGACGTCGAGGGAAGCTCAAGAGAATACGGGACGCGTTGAAGAGATAAAAAGTAAAGTCAAAGGAAGCTATTCCGGAATGATTGCAAATTGCTTTGCAGGAGGCGGAAAATTGGGGGGTAAACAGAAGAAGGTTTCAGGGCGTGGGTGATGGGTGACTTCAGGTTTGGTTGTAGTTTCAATGTATGTGTATGTATTGTGTGGGTGTGGGGGGAAGATCTCCGGGTGTGGCATGTATCAAAGGTGACTGACTGGGTCAAGGAACAGGCAATCTCGAATGAATCGGGAGATGGATTAAGAGTTGTGGAGAGGTTAAAGAGAGGGAAGGCGCGAGAAAGGTACGTATTGACAGTCGGTGTTAGTTTGGGAAGTGGTGACGGAGACGCCGGCTGGGCCGCACCCTCCACCAGAAAAAAGAGGTGAGGAAAGAGCAGAGGCTTCTCGAGCCACAAAAATGGTTCGTTCTTGCTTGAACGGTCGGAGCCGGGCACAAGCAATAGGAAGCTGTGAGTCCTCCGGCTCTTCTTATACATCTTGTTGCAAGACGAGACAAAACAAGCAAAGGGTAAATCCACGAGTAAGAGGTAACAACAAGACAATGCCATTCAAGGTCAAGTGCAGCACAAAGCAAAGAAAAGAAAAAGAAAAGAAGACATCAAACACATAAAGTCAAGCACAGCAGGATCACTTACCCGGTGAAGCCAAAAGGGAATTAGGTGTAAGCTCTGTTCGAGCTGCCATTGAACTTGTTGAAATCGCCGCCATTGTCTATCTATTGTCTTGGTATTGATGACGCAGGATGGCGTCGACTGATGTGATTGAACCCAGGATCGGTATTTTCGCGCAGGCGGCAGGGGTGATATAGGTTATTATATTGGAGGGTCGCTTTCGGCCGTGTCAACCAGTTTGATGGAAGAGAGGGTAGAAATATCGATTGATGCTGGACAAAAGGCGTCGACCAGGGACTCGGGGTGGGATCAATTGGTCGAGTCGTTTTCTAAATCGAGAGGATGCAGGCTTCACTTATGCTCCAGAATTGTTGGAAGGCACGTCTCAGATCGCCACAAAGCGGATAGTCGGATGCGCTTCCACAGTGTTCAATGTTTGGTACTTATAAGTGAGCCCGAGCCTGTTGCGAGTGTCGAGTCAAGCACGAGTCGGCGTCGCAGTGGTTGCAGCAGAGGCAGCGGAGGGGGGTGCCTAGTTTGGTGTAGCCAGCGACTAATTCGATACTTCGTACTTCGTAGTGGTGATGAAATGGTGGGGGTCCTGGTACTGGTCCTGGTACCGGCGCTGTACTAGGGGTACTAGGCTCCACTATATATTCTCCAGACACACGAGCGACGAGGGACGAGTGACGGATTTGGGGGGCTCGGCACACCCCACTGAGGGCACTTAAGATCCGTCAGGAGGGAACCTGGAGGGTACTGTGATGTCAGTGATGTCCGAAACCCGTACGAGTGTAGCTTGGCGGTAGTCCTTCCCAAACGAGGGTATCTCGAGTCGTTTCTGGGTCTGATTGGGACCAGGAGTAATACGTCTGTGTTGCATCCGGGCAACCACGGAGCAAGCAGGAGACACCACCGGAGAGGACGCGGAACCACGAACGAAAGAGAGCGAGCAAGGGACAACGAACGTGAAGCTATTCGAGTCGAAATTCGAGTCGAATCTAGAAATTCCAACAAAAACTCAAAACAGCTCAAGAAGAAGTTAAGGTACTTCGTATTGAGTGTTCTTGACCGGAATGTCGGAAGTACTTCGGGTTTGACGCGGGTTCGAGAGAGGCAACGCCGCACCGGTGAATAGTGGGGCGAATTAGTGTTATGGGTGAGGACAATGGGGCCTGGCCATGAGAATCTCTCGGCGTCGTCAAAAGTTGGAACGAAAAGAACTCGTGAGAGAAACGTGAAGGAATCGTGGTCTCTTAAAGATGCCGCTTCGTTAGAAGTTCAGGGTGTGTTTGAACAATAAACTTCTCTCTCAAAAGAGGTGAGGGCTCCAATGGGGGGTTCAGCTGGCTCGAGTGTGCACTAATACACCTCGGTACAATGCACGCACGCCCGGGACTGGATGACGGGTTAAGGGAGGGCTGGCTTGGCTTTCGCAGCCTCGAAATAGAACCGGAGGAATATAGAAGAGGGAGAAAATAGAGGACAATATCGGAGAGAGTGCGATTGTTGAATTTGCCAAAATTCGATCACAGGATATGCATTCGTTTCGAATACTGGGAGAGCGAGGAACCGATCTTCGTTGACATCGAAACCCTGGCTTGTATCGTAGTGTATCGTTTTTGAGGCCAATTGGGGGCTTGAAGGCGGGGTGCAGAAATGGTCGACTCAAAAACTGCCAGGGCACAAGAACGCGGGGCCGGCGAAGTCGCACCGTTGAACAAGGTCTCGGAGTCGTTGATATCTCGCGTGTTGAATCGTGTCCAATTGATCTTTAATCAACACTGTCTACCATAGAACGTTTAAGCGTCCTTGGGGGATGGATAATACTTCGTAAGGGAAACTCAAAAAAGGAAGAACAAGAGAAATATATCACATGGGGGAAATCGAGAGATTGGGGGGGAAGGAAGGGCTTGGAGCGGGTGGAGGGCATTCAGTCTATGTAGTTTGAGAGCCATCCAGCCCATGCACGATTAGTGCTTCCTTACTAGGCAAAGCAGAACATTGATTTGATCAAATTACCAAAATTACACACTCCTTCGTCTTTGCAGATTACCTCAGACCCCCCCCCCTTCCGCCCCCCAGGACAAGCGGATGGCCTCCAAGGACCCCCAAAAGCAGGGGGACCGGCATCAATGCTTCTCGCGATTTCGCACAGTGCATTCCCTGTTGCAGCACCGAAAGGCGGAGTTGCAGTGCAGGACAGCAACTTGAGGCTAGTGCGAGGGATACACAGGAGACCTTCCTCAGTTGGGAGAGTTGGAGCTAAGCCTGCTGGTGTACAACAATGAAGGAGACTAAAACCAATTGATCAACCGATTGATGCAGGAAGGGGATTTTTCTCTCAGTCCTTGGTAGTGTGATAGAGGCTGTCATCGGCTTGTTCCTTCGAATTGATCATGATTACCGCTTATTCTTCCATCCTCGATAGAAGGTCAGGCCAGTGGCTTTCCGATATTGCCCTGCGTAAAGATGAAGGTGAATTATGGCGGTGGGGGCGGTAGGGTTGGTGGGATCGGTTCTCTGATCAATTGGTTTTATGAAGCAACATTGAACTTGTATACATTTGTAGTGTAGAACCCCCGAGTCGCACTTTAATGCTGTCGCCGACACCTTCACGAGCATTACGACGAGGTATTACTTGGGTACAGGCCTACAAAGTATGGCAGTACAAGTACGTATCAATGCGACACCACAAAATACTTACACAATTGATGATACCCCAACATCTCGCTCTGTCGAAACAGGACCGATGTCATGTCAATCCAGATTTCAGACCGTAATTGAGTTTGCTGGTGAAAGGAACTAGCGTCGCCAAGATTCCTAATCTCGGAGCGTAGAGCACGCCAACAGCTTTCTCTCCGGGCGATCTCTTGACCTTGACAGTTGTCTGTGGACGATCCGGAGTTGAGACCGAATGCCGCCGGAAACATCAATCTGCCATTGTCATTCTGATTAGGGCAAAGGCTGCTCGGACTTGAGACGTCTCCGATGTTCATTTAGGCGCTCGCCACTGGCTGGCTGGCTGGCTGGGCGAGTTGGGGGAGGGGACCAAAGGTGAAGACAGGGGTTTCGTTCTAAACATGGATTGCATTGGGAGCCTGCAAATAAAGAGAAAGCCTCGACTTCCTACTGGCTGGGAACAAGAGGCAGATCAATGAGGATTTGACAACACAAGGCAAAGTGAACTGTTTCTCTCTTACAAAGTATTGCGACGTACGAAAGAATGCTACACCAGAAACGAAACGGTGATTTTGCCAGAGCCCTATCAAGTTTTAATTCCTCGCCATACGCCCTCCAAATATATCGGACGGGGAAAAAAAGAAACAGATAAGGCCCCTTGCTCCTTATTGTAGCACAATGATTGAGAGTAAATTGATCTCCGCATACATTCCAGAGTCTTGGCTCTCGGTTCAACTTTATCTCGACTCTTGCGTCTGCGTGATCGACGGGGCGGCCTATATTACTTCCCTACAATATACAGGCGCCCTCCTCTCTCTTTTACCCGTCTCCCGGCTACGTTAGCGAGGACGCATCAACGATCCCTAGGACACACATGTATGGCCTTTGGCGATGATATCAGCGGATGTAAATCTATTCTAGGATGCACGTGGATGGTCGGGTGTTGCCAACCCTCCTTTGGAAATATGCAACCCGCAGTCACACAACACACCGCAAGAAAGCACGAGACGAGGCAAGGTGTGCACGACAGGATGGCCAGGATGGCCGAGGTGCAACAGGCTCAAAACATGATGTTTATTCATGGGGCTTGGCAACTATCTAAGGAGGTGGCTCTGTTCATGCCGGCACTTGAGTAAGAAACCTGGGGAACATCGAGTTTACCTGGAGGAGCGTAGTTGGACCAGGTACTGGACCTTGTGCCTGCCTTCCTCCTCGAGAAGGACGAATGTCCGAATGTCGTATTCGATTCGATTCAACAAAAGGTGAATGAGGACATATTACTCAGTGTACACCTGACGACACACCCACATTTCGCGTTTGACAGGTTTCTTGTTTCGTCCTGTTTTCCAGGTCTCACCTCTAATTTCAGATACTTGTTGCCAGCGATGGCGATACAGTGTGAAGTGCTAGTCTGAGCGATTTTTCAACATCTCCGTCTCTGTGTCTGTCCTCGCAGGCAGGCTCGCACCATCCGTCGCGGGTTCGGGGCAGGCTTCAATGTCGACTTGCTAATCTAAGCAAATAGACTAGGCCCCAATGAATGTAGTGTATCCCGATTGTACACTCCATCCACGATACCATGTACTTCGTACCCTCCAGCCCGGCCGCCTGGCTGTCATCATGCATTGACCAAGGATCGCCTCCAAGTAGTTGATGAAATTAGGAAGCTATGCATGTCTTGTATTATTCAACAAGACATCAGATTGCTGTCTTGAGCCTACCTTTCCCTACAAGGAAGGTACAGCCCCGAAGAAATGAACATCAAGATCAACAAAGTTATGAAGTAATAGTGGAAATCCATCTGGGTGTAAGAGACCAAATATTAACGAGTACTTCGTATGCACAATGAAAAGCGCTATCATCCCAATAGGATGATGGAAGAGTGTCTTCGTCTGTACTTCGTGCTTCGTAGTCGCACTCTCGTCCCCAGGTTCCTCCTCCACAAACAGGCCCATGGTGGCGACTGACGGTGGACACTATCGGTCCTTCGGTCGATAAGTCAGGCAGACTTTATCTTTAATTCAGCGGGGGTGGACCACCATCAAAGCAATCAAGCACGAAGTCATATCCTTGACAAAAAGAAAAAAAACGAAAAACAAAGAGAGAGCAGCATCAAAGAGTAAACTTTCCCCAACAAAAAAAGATGTGTGTTTCCCTTCCCCGATATGGGAAGCGCCTTTTCC